TTCCTAGGGCTGAGAGAAAGTGACTGGCCCAAGGTCACCCAGCTGGCTTTGTGCCTAAAGCGGGACTAGAACTCAATCTCCCAGTTTCTAGCTCAGTGCCTTAACCACTACATCAAAATGGCTTTAAGACTTTAGTAGTCCCTTATCCCATAAGAAGTGTTCAACTTGAGACCCACAGTTACCTACAAAATTCTTGGATGTGCCCCACCATCAAAGTGTCATCTAAGTGCAATCTTAGAAACTGGAGAAAACGGTTAGCTATCCAAGAGGGGAATAACCACATTCACTATTTTAGTTATACAAAATCCATCCTATTCTTCCCCATTTCCTTTTGGAGTGTATGCCATACAAAAAGAAAAAGGAGTGTTCAACGAACATGGTACAGAAAGAAGCATTGATGAAGACTCCGAAGCCACAGAGTACTTGCTGAATGTTAGAGAATGGAAAACCAGAGAAGGGAGAGAAGGGAGAATCCTGCTGGAACCTGCAATGGGAACACTGTTGTCTTTCCAATAAGCAGTTCTCCTTTGGTATCACCTCTGAGGAAAATGTTGGTGGCTCCTAGAAAGCAGCTTTCCCACTGCGCTACAAAGAGAGAAGCAGAAATTCAATTTGCCTGGAGTTTGGGGGTGGTGGACATCATGAGAAGTACCTGAAGATAGCCTGAGCGCCAGTATGTGCATTAGTCCAGCAACTTTTGTCTAATGTTCCATTTCCCATCCAGGCAGATTCTCCAGCTATTCATACTGGCATGGGGGAGATGTTTAGAGGCAGTGCCAAACCCCAAATGCCAGTTCTATCAAACCAACATGGACTGGATATGGTAAATTTGGTTTCTAGGCTGGTCCCACTGTAATCAAATCGTTGAAAACAATTTGCCTGTTTTGGCCCAGTTCTCACCCTTCCAATAGGACAAGACAGAAATATATGTGGGGGGTGTCTTCCTATCTAGATAGATTGGGGAAAAATTATTGTTGGAAAAAGGGGCCTATTAAAGAACTTGGACCAATATCTCTGAAAGAAAACCTTAAGAAACTTTCCCACTTGATTGTAGCAATACATATGACCCAGAATACACTTATCGTTGTTATGCTGATATTATCTATACCATGAAAATCCTTCCATTATATTTAATTGTCAAAATACATTCAAGGAACTGCCCATAAGTTGGAAGCATCACCTCTGATAGCATATATTTAACTGCTTGCAGTGTTGACCAAGAGCATATTTTTCCAGTTGGCTGTCCTCCACAAGACACCAGATGGCCTTCCTTGTGGGGGAGGCGGGAGCTGTATCACAAGTAAAGCATGCCAGTTTGGGAGCGTGGTGTGGCAAGATCAGAGAAAGTGCCATCATGGTACTACCACAGATAACCATTCTGTATCGGATAACTACTCTGCATATGATTGCATCAAATCCACCACCAGAATTCAACATCAATCTTGTTTAACAATTGAGATCTGATCAAGGAAACATTTCCCCTAAATGAGTACTGGAATTAGCTTACGGCACTACGCACGTGAGCCAGCATGATTGAAATGGGAAGAAAATAAAAAGTCATTCTGAATATCTCATTTGACTCATATCCAACCGATTTTCCAGAGAAAGACATTGAAATGTTTTTTTCATGTGGTGTTTAGGGAAAAGAG